AACTTGGCCACTTTATTTTATAATAAGCTATTAATATTTTACTAAAAAGACTCGCTTTATTAGTTTCCTTGTAGCAGCAAATGTAGGTACTCGTTAAGCCTAATGTTATTTAAATAGATTAGATAGAAAATCAATTCAGACAAATGGAAATTCGCTAAGTCGGCATGTTTGCTGTGGCGGGGGTATTTATAATATCCACTAATCTGTGAGAAATTACATTGAAATGTCAACATAAAAGTAAACATTGTGAATTTTCTCATGCTTCCATGGATACCAATTAATATTTGCTTTTGAAAACCTCACCTCAAAACTTAGGACATCCAATCCAAGGGGCGTAGCCTGAGAGGAGCTCAGGAAAGTGAATAGGCCGATGACATTCCTAGATATGTGGACCATCTTTGTGGTTTTTGGCTTTATCGGTTTAGTATTCTAGTCGTGACAGCTGCCCAGACAGACACCACCTCAATTTTATAATAGTATAGATAAGTTGGTTTTATAAATTAAGGCAAATCTTTTTCTTTTAATAATTTATCTTTTAATTAAATAAATACTTCTTGCTTCATCACAAGCAAGCTGCTGAACACAAAGGATAACAAACAATTTAGGCTACACCGAAAATATTAACTTATTAAAACTAGACAATAATTTTGATTTTGATCAGTTAAAGAGTATAAATGATTTCTTAGGATTAATATTGAAGTTTGTCACAATGGAAATTTTCGTTAGAATTGTCCAATTTAAATCTGATCCAAAATGTATGTAATAAACTTGTAATGGTCTCTCTTGACCCAATAAATAAAACAATTACGTCAATATTTTGTAAGTTATATTTTTCTTTAAAATATGGAATAGTTGGATCATATTTCTTTTTCTTTTCATCATTGATTTTCAATGGTTGTTTTTTTCTTATTTAGAATATTATGGTTGGATCAATAACTAAACCCATTACTCTTTTCCTAATTAATAATTAAAATGTAGATTCTCCTTCGAGACCCACCTTCTGCTACACATGGCACTTCTTCGTTATAAAGGTAAGTGGTTTATTTTAGCTATTGAGGAAAGTTAGCGGCAAAAGCTATTATTCTGCCACACATTCATAAATTTAAATTACAGTACACTGTACTGTTTGTACTATTTTTTTTCTTTACTTTCACATTCAATTAATTAGTACAATCGATAAAGTCACGTTTATCGTATTGAAACATGCCTATCCTCGTATTGAAAACCTAGTAAGAAACACTTTCTATGGTAGGGTATGGGTGCAGTAGTAGTTTACTCAACGATTGCGTAAAGATAGTGTTAGCAACACGAGTAGAAAATTGAAAAAAAAAAACTTTTGACACTCATTAACACTATTTTTGCGAGTTGCACGACAGTGTTGTGATTACTAAAAATCACTACTCATAACTTCTAAGAGAGATTGTTTTTGTTTATAACCTCTCATTGCCACTGACAGTGATGCAACAAAATATTGTCCTAAACACTAATTATTGCACCTTTCAACATTTAAATTGACTTTAACAGCTGATTAGTTGAAGTTTGAATCTTTACAATTTTACTTCTTCTCTCTCAATTCTTGAACCTCATTGGTCCGTTACCAATGGTGTTATGAGTAAAACTACGTGAAACTGAACTGAAACGGCTTCTTTAAAAAACGATCGTAGGTAAAAGGTTTTTACACGTTTCAATAAACACAAATTTAATTGTCTCTCTTTTCACCTTCATAAAAATACTGACTATCCTTCACCATATGTTAAATCTTTGGTCCACAGCAAAGTATCTAATGTACTTTTGAACTGTTAGGCAAGCTTACCAGAAAATCTATACATTGATGCTCATTCTTGCTCTTGTGTGCACATACTCCACCTTAAGAATATCTAATAATAGGTTGGTTCATAGCATATTAGTAGATTGAAAGATCTTTTCAATGATAATGTTTCCAGTTAGAGGCATTCAATGTAAGTTATACATTTGTGATTGTACTACTTTCTAAACTATTACCATGTGTTTCATTGTGTAGGCCTACTATGTTTTAGATTTACTTGAATGGCTTATTTATACAGGGTGAGTTTTAGTTGTCCCCCCCTTCAACTGTTTTCTAATTTATTTTAAATATCAATCCTAGACCACATCCAAACATTGTTGGGTAGTAAGCACTTCATTTTCACAAGGTGGTCATTTCCGTCACCATATTAGATACAAAATATGTTTTTCAAATGCATAAGAGGGGTTGTGACCCATTATTTCAAACAAGAATTTTACAACATTGTGCATTTACAAAATAAAACCATAACCTCAAAATAGTCCTGGGAAAAGATGAGTAGGCCTATACACCAGCAGTCCTTGTCGACCTATTTTCAATTGGTTATAACGGATGCAATTTTTTCAGTGCCATCTTGGATCCGCCATTTTGAACATTTCAAATTACTTTTTTAAGTTGAACCCAATGCCGCAATCTGTTTATTTTTATCAAATTTTATTTTGAAAATTTTTAAATTTAAAATGACAATAAAAAAATGAAAAGGAAAAACGGATTGCGGCATAGAGTTTAGCTTAAAACATTAATTCTAAATGATGGGTCACAACATCACCTTCATATTTAAAAAAATATCACATTTAAAATGGCAGATCCAAGATGGCACTGAAAAAATTGCATCCGTTATAACCAAGTGAAAATAGGTCGACAATGACTGGTGGTGTATACTTATCTTTATCTATCACTATTTTGAGATTATGGTCTTAGTTTGTAAATGCACAATGTTGAAATGGGCTAAAAATAAAGTTATAAAAAGCTCTCATAACTTTGGAATAGATCAAGATTTTTTAAACGGATACCGGTAGTGGCATTATTATCAGTGGTCTGAGATTGATATTTGAAAAAATGTAGAAAAAGTTGGAGGGGGGACAATTAAAATTCAATTAAACCTGTATAGCTAAGCAGTTGTACTGCATCTTAGGCCGCGGCTCCACTTGCCGTAGATTGCAGCGCTGCAAATTGTAGCTGGTCAGTTGAAGAAATGGGAAGGCAGCGATCAAACGAAGGAGGCTCCTCAAGCGACAGTCTGCAGCGCGCTACATTTTACGGCGCGCCGTAGAATGTAGCATCGCGCGGGAATGGAACTCGGACCATTTTCACGCTACATTTTGCAGCGAACAGGTGGCTCCACTAGCTGTAGATTGTAGTGCCGCGTCAAAGTGTACGTACAACCGACCAGCATGCAGGCACGAGACACACGCTACAATCAGTATCGACTTTTTAGTGTCCTTAGTTTTTGATTTTTGTGGATTGATTTGTAATCAATGGAGCCTGAACTATAGACTGTGAAATTATTATATTAGAAATTTATAACTTATTATATCGGGAGTGTGGGGATCTTGTTTTATAGAGGTTGTGTAGGGGGTTTCTACTTTATACATATTATAAATTAATACAGTAGTGATTGGAGAAGCAAATACGTAAACACATTCAATTTGTTTTTAAATGCAGCAGTCGTCAAATTGTTATGATTAGCCCTATAATGAAAAGTTCCTAATGGTTGTTTTAGATTATTATTAATATGTACAACAAAAACTCAAGAAACTCATTGATATTCAGCGTAGGCCTACTTTGGTTATACATATTACTTCTGAGGGTAAATGAGTGCAATAAAAAATAAAAAAATGGAAATAGAATAGAAATAGAGATAAAATGACCATTAAAGTAAGAGTAGGTAATTCGACACACCCAGGATTGATGAAGCGAGGGTTCACTGTTTAAAATTAATTAGTTAAAATTCAGTACACTAAAATTGCATTAATGTCACTGAAAGCCGTTCCCCTACTCCAATTGCTTCTCTTAGTTTGGTATTCTTCTTCTTCAAACGTGTTGATACTGTCTGAATACTTTTGTAGTTTAGATGCAATGTGTAGAACATCCCTTCGGACTTTCTATTGCCCAAAATTGGATGGATCCAACATTTTCGGATGCTGTGATCGGCGTCGTCTTGATAAAAGTACACTGATAACAACAAGACTACGAATGTTAATTTGCGGCATGATCCAGGGTCAAATTTACCTCCGCGCTACACTAAACTGCTAGTGGAGCCACGGTGCATGTGAGGACGCTGCAGATTGTAGTTCGTACTCTGCTGCTAGTGGAGCCACCAACTGTCGTGTGTAGCGCGCTACAATTTGCAGCGCGACGATTTACGGCAAGTGGAGCCCCAGCCTTAGACAGTGTTGAGGCACTCTTATTTATCTCAGTAATGTGGATTTAACTTATGCACATGAGTGGCTATTGAATCTCTTAGTCCTGCTGGTGCTCTTCCCTCTGACTTGCTTATTGTTTACTTGGCAGAACCATAGACAAAAAGAATTAAATATAGACCGTCAGCTATGCTGCGGTTACCATAGCTTCTGGCGCACACCGCTTGGAGCGCCATGTATTTACGGCGTACGCGCTACGTAAACTACAGCGGTGTGCGCCGGAACCTATGGTAACCATGGTAACCGCAGCACGGCTGACAGTCTATATTTAATTCTTTTTGTCTATGGCAGAACATATATCAGTCCAAGTTAAACAATACAAGAGGTGTATAAGGTGAAAGGCCTAATCTATCTTTAGCCAAACATTCAAAATATAAGGCTGAAGGTTTATGTGTTGTTAATCACTACAACAAAAGAACACAAAGTGTGAAGCTAAAATGTTAACAATGAAATTATGAAAAACAAAACTACAATAAATTTGCATTTTGTTGAACAAATTAAACTGTGACCGCATGTTGCATACATACTGAGAGTTAAAAATGTTATAAGTTAATTTACTTAAGACTCTTTACACCTACAGTTAAAGAAGATCATCAAAGATGCTTACACACAGTTACCACGAGTTTTAGATTCAGTTAGCAGAGTAAGCTGTAAACCAACTGCCTAGGACAAGTAGCTGTTATTACAAGTTAACTATTTGAATTTTGTCAAATACTAGGAAGGACATGTCTAAGGAGCATTGAACACACATAAAATAATCGTATATGTGGAAACAATTTATTTCTGAAATAAACATAGCAAATGAAAATGGAAGTTAAAAAAATTTAGTTAAGAAATACAATAACAGCAGTAAAAAATAAATAATAAGTAAGTTTAAAATTAAATACCTTGTAGTGCACAGGAGAAACACACTTGCATTATTATTAAATGGCTACATTCGAACATGAAGTAGTTTCAAACACAAAACTGAATGGAGAAAGCACCAAAACAAGGGGAATGAAGTGAGGTTAAGGCACCAGCGAGTAACTTTTAGCCTATGCTCAGCCACCCTTCCTCCAGTGCTATTGCTACTATCTCTGAGCGTACGGCGTACGGCCCAACACCATACGCTATATACATCCAGACGTGAAACAATATGTCTACTGTTAATTACAAAAATAAATTACACCGAATAAATGTACTCTAAATATTAGTTTTAACTCGTTTAACAGGAATGAAACTAAACCAATTACCAAACGTTGCGGAAATCTACTTGCCTCTTGATTTTACACATTACATAACATTTCTATCATAATTATTTTTTCACAATAGTTTTACAAGGTCGCAACTAATTGAAGAATGTGCCTCACCGTTTGATACCACCAACAAAGAAAACGATAAGCCGAGCTGACAAAAATTAGCGAAAGTAATAAATAAAAACAGATCGTAGGAAGTAAACACTTTAATGTCTTTTTATATGATGATTTTGTAACTTAAAAATACCACCGATTCGATTGCCATGGGATCGTTTTAAGGAATGTGAATGCCCCTACACTCCTAAGATTAACTAAGCGGAGGCTCCTCGAGGGAACGGAAATCACTCGCTGCTATATCTTGCGGACACAGTTTAAAGATTATGTACCATATATAACAGTATATTTTTTTACAAAAATGTACACGAACATATTAAAGTTGTTCACTTATCATTACCACTGAAAACATCAAAGCTCACTTTAGTGTTTGTGTTTTTGCTACTCTCATTTCCAATTCATTGTAGTGTTAGAATTGAAAGCAGAAATGCAGGTCTGATCGCACTTAGAATACCCACAACGCCTCACTTGGATGTCATCATGGTTACAAACTCTGCAACAGAGAACAGAGAAATCAACATTAAGTTAATAAAACACATCAGTCCATAATCTACTTGAAAAAGGCCATTGGCTTATGTACCAAAGTGATTCTAAAATGTTCATTTAGTAACACACTATACAACAAACCTGAACTTCTATGTCTCATTAGACAACAAATTATATATATAAAACTATAACCATAAGATACTTTCTCTCTGTAAATACGAGACATTTTGTGTACAATAATAATAAATATCATGAAAGTGTTTTAAAGTTTTTTTTAGTGATTTATTGCCCAACTAAAATATTAAAAGGGATGATTGTGGAAAAAATAAATCATTCAAATTACCATTCATGCAAGTTAATTAGTTTTGTCCTTGTTGGATCTATTAAACAACTATTCAATAGCTGTTTCAAGTAAACACAACAGCATGCTGCATTTACATGCAAATCAACTGATGTTAAAACATTAAACAAAGTTATAAAGAAAGTTAGTTGTAACTTCAATGACAGAAGAAACTGAGAGATATGTATATTAAAATTATTCAAAGAACAGATTAGCCTATATACTTGTGTAAAAAATCCAAAAGGAAACAAACCAATTGTGAAGTCAGTCAAATTATTTAGAATGATCATGTATTTTTTTTTTTACTTTCATAAGTTAATTTATTTTAATTTGATTTAAAATTATATCTTATTGCATACCATATCAATCTTATTGTTGTGATTAAAAAAAATATTCGGTTATAGATGATATCATCTATATCAATTCCCAAGGGCTTTTTCGGTTGGTACACCATATATTAAATAAATCAATTTTTTATAAATGGGGCATTATTTTTAAACTTAGTCATTAAAACTATAGCACTCCCATTTCATAAAAAAAAAAAAATCTATATTCTAATTCTGCATTTAATTTTGACTTTGATGCTGATTCAAGTGATTCGATCAGCTGATTTAACTATCTTAAATCTGTATAACTGCTGATTATTGATATTAATCACAACTTAAAACCCGTATGTCTTATTTTTTGCGGATAGGACAAAGTTGTTCTGCCAGTGGTGTAGACCGAAATCGCTGCACAGCTTCTAACAGGCGGGTGAACTTCACATTCGCCCTTCAAACTACCAGTTACCATCTTAGACACATTAGTCTCATCAACACACACTCACACAAAGGACAGACAATTTTACATCAAGCAGACCTCATTAGGTAGACAAGGTGCCCATGGTTCCAAAAGAAGCACTCACCAAAGTTGATAGTCTTAAGTGACATCATGAAAAACAAACACAACTGGAGGGAAAAATGAAGTTTAAAAGTTGTTAACGTCACAGAAATCAATAAACTCAATGTTAACCATTTTTCTTATTCAAGAGTTATGTCCAAAAAATACAGTGTTCACTAAAATTGAGTAGGATTACAGTGTAAACACGGGTTGGCTAGTCAAATATACAATAATTTAGTACCTTTTATTACCGCAAGTTATGATTTTTTGCAGCTAAGGCAAAATGTCAAATAGAGATACACTTACTTAAATTAAGTACGGTAATAACTAACTATTTTTTTATTTCTGAATGAAACTAAACCAACCTAATATTTTTATTTCTATGTCTCTGATATCCTAAATTTGAAAAGGAGACCTCATATTCAAGATTTAAATTTTTAGCATAATAAACTAATGGTAAGTGAGATGATATGGTATGTTATAAAACCATTTGTGCCTATAAGAATGGGTCTTTAAAAAGGGGAAACGATTAACCTGCAGACCTCAGAAGAAACCTCAACATAATGATGAATTTTTAAAAGACCAACTCAAGTTCTAAAGAAATGTTATAGAAATAGAAATTAACATGATGTTCACACAAACTTTGTACGTAACCATTTTGAGAACTTTCTTTATTATTCACTCCCCCTTCAAGATCTGAAGATCAAGATTTGAAACCCATAGAATGAGCTATCGCCGAAAATCTTCCCTCACATGCACTAATACATGTTGCTATGATCTACTTCCATGGCAGTTGTTTGAATGGATGTTTTATTTAGCATCTACCTACAGACACAATCATACAATACTGCACGTTGGTGCTTCTAATCATAAAATATGTGTCAATATAGCCTACTTGAATACTGGGCAACATGAATCAGTTTATGACCTAGATTAATTAAGTCAATTTCTATGTGAATAGCATCAATATCAGTTTTTTGTGTCAGACATAGAAAATAAATTCAATTTTGTTTCCAACCATAAATAGAATGTAGATTGCAGATTACAATTTAAAAACAAACACTGTTTGCTAACCTACATAATATGAGTACATTGACAGTATTTACACAGTTTGATTTTCTTGAGATACCGCTAAAACAAATTATGTTAGGCAAAAATTTACTTCATTGAACGATCCTAGTTATGTACTCTATATTTTATGTAGGAAATTTTATTTTTATTTTATGTTTTGATGGATAAGCATGCAAATATTTTTTTGTTATCAAATAAAACACTGATAATGTTAATGGAAATCCAATCAAAGACACAAATATTAGTTAAACAAGAAAGACAATGGCTGGATGAATTGATTAACTTATAGACTTCATCCTATGGCAATATTTGATACACAGCTTCTAACTGTGAACCAAACAAGAACTCAGTTATTTGATAAAAGTGAATGTTGTCGTAAAGCTAAGAGTGTGTCTGGAGACAAGACAGTAAAGAGCTCGAGTGAGACATAGAGGCTACATGCTACCAACGAATGCATGCCCGCGACTAACAAACATTCCAGTAAAAAGTAGCACTGACCGCCACCACTCAACACCTTGAGAAAATTATTTGAGCAAGAGTATGGAAATCTGCAAGAGGAAAACTCTACTCAGTACCCACCAAAACATTACATTGAAAATACACTATTGCAAAAAAAAACTATTCTGACAAGCCTTCTACAAGGTAAAGCAAACCATTTATGCTTTACTACTCAAACAAAATAAAGACACGTTGTAAAATGAAATCCACTCGTCAAAACCAACCTCCCAGTAAGTAGTAATTTTCAGACAAGTTAACAAGATGAAGAAAAATAAAGATACCATAGGTACAACTGGTATTTTAAGGAACACATAAAAAAATACACTGGAAAGTTAAAAAAAAAAAATAGTCCATACAATTGGTTTTTTAGGAACACATAAAAAATACACTGGAAAGTTAAAAAAAATAGTTTTGAGTCATATTAAGTATAGATCAAAATTAAGTTGCATGTCTATACAAAATTAACATCTATGTACAATTTACAACCAAAATAAAATAAAAATCTAACAATAAAAATTATTAGGCCTATTAAAATGCAGACACAAAAGAATAACAAAACCAACTTTTGAACAACAACCTCGCAAGAGGATAGTCGCTTCACTCCAAAGAAACCATAAAACAAAAACTCTTCACAAGATCGTTATTCAACAGGACATGATAAATAAAACTATTTAAAAGATTTCTTGAATGCAAATATATAAACTTTTAATCCCAAGCTAAATCATATCCGAGATTTTCTGTATTGTTCCCTACTAAGAGAAAGTATTTTTCAAATATTAGGAATAGACCCCTACATTGTTAACAAAGTCTTGGAGAAGTTTAATCCTGTGGCTTAAATGAAAAGGTATTATTGTCACTTTTTAGGATATTTTTATTTTACCGGACATTAGATTGTGATTTGTCAAATGAATAGGATAGAATACACAAGAAAATCAGTAGAGTCAGTTCTGAAAGTTCAGCTATTTGTTGTATCATTTACTAAATCTAACAAAAAAATTAAATGAACACATTAAGTAATAAACTGCGAGTTATCTTAAGCAAGAGTGTACAATTTACATTAGAAATAAAAATTCTACAGCTGGATTGATATACAGTGACTTTATCTACAAAGACTTTTGTAGGTAGAAGGCAGTTGAGTGTAAAAAGATACAACAGGTAGTCTGTTGCCTGGTAGTCTAAAGAGCTATAGTTGAATAATTTGGAGTTACCTGATCAAGATTATCAAATCATTTTGATAGGCTTGAGTTAGAATTACCTATTGCAAATATTTTAATAAAACCCAAAATTGTAAATTATAAAATATCAACAATAAAACCCATGCAATTATTGTGAATTCAAACATATCACAGAGAAGTAAGATACAGCGGAAACATTCAATGGTACACTTAAGTTGAGTCTAGCACCAGTCGCTTGAGTCTAGTTCAAATTCTATTGGTCGTCCCCTTTCGCTCACCCTCACCATCAGGTACTATAATGATCACGCTGGTGGAAGAGCCTGTGCAGTGTAACTGCTGTTGTAAACAATAGCTGTTCGGGCTCTTCCTGGCTCAGTACTAGTATATTTCCGTCCCACCATTCCCGAGCTAAAAACGCACGGTTGTTCCGTAAGCATGTTTCCTCTGTATATCTTACTTCTCATTGAACATATGAAATAGCTATTTATGTGCAAATGATCAATCATACTTCAATCTTAACTCTCTGTTAGTGCAAATTTCTGAGTTGCAGAAAGTACTGTTTTATTACCTGGGATCACTGTGATTCCCATTGTCAAATTTATTGGGAATAATTGTGGGGGGGGGGGGGGCATTGCAGCTTATCAACACAGAGGACATAGTGTAGTGCAATTTGACGAGTCTAATAATTTATGCTTTATACTTGAGAGACAAGCCTTGAAAAAGGGGCCATATTTCTATTTAGCAATAGGCTAGCATTTTAAAATGTTTTGTTTACCTATGTTATGTTATAAGAAACACTATTTTATATACCAGCGAAGTTCTTTTAAACAAATTTTCATGGTTGTTTGCCAAACTGTTAAATAAATATTTAATCACAGTGTATAAATAATTAATCAGTATATTAAACGTTTTAGGGTTTTTTATTTTTTAAAGTGAATAGGTCCTAATGTAAATTTTAGCATGCAGCCGAAAAACATTTTGGGAAAGTTTATGTTTGTAAACATACTTAGAAAACTACAATTCCTGTGTTAATTTTAACATGTATAATAGAGTCATGAATAACCCACACACTCATTTACTTACACCCTATAAAAAGGTGATATATTCAAAGAGGAATCCTTCAAAACAACAAAAGCAACTCTACTAAAAAATCATAAATGCGAATGATTGCACAGTATTAAATGCTACATTGGATGTTTACCTTCGTAATTTACTTGTCCGTCTCCGTCGATATCAGCTTCTCTGATCATCTCATCGACCTCTTCGTCTGTCAGCTTCTCACCCAGGTTGGTCATCACGTGCCTTAACTCCGCCGCACTGATAAAACCATTACCGTCCTTGTCAAACACTCGGAACGCTTCTCGGATCTCCTCTTCACTGTCTGTGTCTTTCATTTTTCGGGCCATCATTGTGAGAAACTCGGGAAAGTCGATCGTGCCGTTACCTGTACGTGCACAAACATTTCAATAAAATTGGACAAATACCTTAAAAGAAAAGGCAAAAACGATTGTGGTTAATACGTACCGAATGTATCTTGTATTAGATGAATTCTAAAACAATTAGTCTTTGAAATTAAGTGTACCTAATTATTTTGTATAAATCCTTTTCAAAGTTGTTATGATTTTCTGTCCAAATGGAGGGCAAGTTAAAATTAGGTAAAACTGGTGTTTGTAAGATTTATTTGAGGGTGGAAGGCAAATAGAGTATAGAGGTCGTACGGAACGAGGTGAAGCTTGGAGGGGAATAGTGGTGTGGTGGGGGAAGTGTCGCTATGCGAGGCGACGATCGGCTCGTCTCCTACCCCCACCATGGATTTCCCCGCTTTAGACCGTTCCCGCCGAAAATCTCAGGCTTCACCTCGTTCCGCACGACCTCTACCAAAAGACCATTTGTTTCCTGCTTTACAAAGCATATAACCAACAAGATATAATTACAGGACTCTTAACATATTTTAGGTACTCCAAACACAAATAGTTAGTGGAAGGGGAAATAGTGAATACCAAAAGCCCACTCATATCCTGATTTACAAGCATATTACACCTACAAAATATCTACAGGCCTTTTATTAAACAAATTTTTGGTACCCCAAACACAAAGTGTTATAAGTTAGTGCTGCATTCAACTACATTTTTGCACCTTTAGCTCAGCAGCACCTAAGATCCTAAGCATTGCAAGAATTTCAAAATTAAATTGTAGTATAGGCCTATATGAATCTGAACGGATGTTGTTATTGACCTCTGGGGACCTAAAAACGAAAAAGTAAATCGGTCCCAGGTCCAGGTCTTGCCATGAGTACTACGGTAATAGTTTATCCGTGTTTAGTAGTTTGGTTGTTATGGGAACTTTGCTAATAACTTTTTTCTTTTTAAAGAAGATTATTAGCAAAGATAATCTTTTTATTCCCATAAAAGGAAAGCAAAAGATTACTTATTCCCACATAGGGAATGATTTACTTTTTTGTTTTGAGGTCCCTAGAGGTTAAAAACAATATCTGTTCAAATTCACATATATACTGTATATATGTCCGTTAGCACTATAACTCAAGCAAAAATGATCCATTTTCAGTGAAATTTGGTGCATACGTGTAACCCTACATTTATTCGAACAAGTTCGCGAACCAGCGTAATTGGACAATTGGGAACAGGGGGACCAGGGGTGTAAGGGGGGGGGATTGATGGGGTGAAAATAGGGTTTTCCCATTTTTGACCCTGAAACATACAATTTTGAAATCTATTTCCAAATCATTTTGTAGAGCTTAAAAAACAAATAATTTAGTATATTGAAGCGTTACTATGCGCCTACTGGTAACAGAGAAAATTCAAAAAATTAAAATTCCCATGTTATTCTTATGGAGAATAAGTAAATTTTTGTAGTTAGCTTGTAGATGAACATAATTTTAATCTAATTTGGAAAATAGATATTTCTGACCAAACTATTAATATTTAAAAAAAAAACCCACTTTTTACCCTACCCGTTTGTAGCAAACCTAAGTAGCCTACTCGTTTAACTAATGCTTATAAATAGGGAATAAATTTGACATTTTTAAGGAAACATTTTAGTGTAAATCCAATCAGGCAAATGTAAATTCACTTAGTATGCAGGTTTGCTGCGGCGGGGGTATTATAAAATTATATGTTATAAATTAGTCTGGTAACAGTTAATTGAGCACCATTTAGGAAATAAATTTATTAGAATGCAAAATAAACAGGATCAAGGAGTCAACAAAGATTATTAGGTACTGCTGCTAACTGAACCTTACTGAGTATTAAATGCTTCTACTTTGAAATTGAAATTAAAAATAAGCTAAAACGACCACTTTACTGCAGTGATATTGAAAACAAAAAGCAATTTAAAATTTAAAAAAATATTTCCTACAGTTTTCAGGACATTTTGCTATGTAACCTTACTTGTAGCAGTTACAGGCCTAGTCGTTTCTGATACAACAGATTAGTGTATGTCTATTACTGACCATCAGCATCAACTTCGTTGATCATGTCTTGAAGCTCGGCTTCTGTGGGGTTCTGGCCTAGTGACCTCATGACGGTTCCCAGCTCCTTGGTTGTGATTGTGCCATCACCATCCTTGTCGAACAAGGAAAACGCCTCCTTGAACTCAGCGATCTGTTCCTCAGTCAGTTGGTCAGCCTGGAAAAATAGAAGGAAAATATTAGGCCTATAATAACATGTTTATCATACTGAGTTGTTTAAAAAATAACAAATCCGTCTTACCAGTCTTGCAAGAAAGTCAGCATTCGATTTTTAACTTAAAACAAAAAAGTCTCTATCAAAAGATCCTGTTGGCTACCATAACATTCACGCCAGGCGTAAATTTTATAGAAGTCATTTCACGCCTACCACACCAATTGTTCAGTAACATATTTCCTAAATTTTAGGTCTAAACAATGATTAGTTTGCTAACGGACTCCTAGACTCAATTGGTCCTGGACATGTTTAATAATAGGTTATACAACTGTGCCCAAATAAACGCCGAGGGTACAGATGTAAAAAGACTCCCTCCTTTGTTCATCATACAAACCCAATAGGCTACTTATTTATTTAAAAACTGAAAAGCCACTTTAGTTCAATTCTTAACTCACCCGGGAATAGGCTTACTTTAAATAACAGTTTAGAAAAACTACCGTACCAGCAAATGTTAATTGAAGGCTATCACGTACAAAACCATTACCGAAAGTAAATAAAAGATACGTCTAATAACACTTTAAAACTTATATTTACGCTTAGGTTATACTGTTAACTCACAAGACAATAAATATACATAAAAGATTGACTTGATTTGATTTGATGGTAAGAGGTGATCAAATTCGATTGGACACCCCAATCATCATCAGACCCAATAGGCGAATGACTTAACAATGGTTTTGTTCTCATCCATGTAAACAAGTCTGAAGAATGCATGGGCCTAACCCTCATTAATGTAGTATGTACCCTATCCCATAAAAATATCTTTAGTCAAATGATAATAAGTAGAAGCATTTTTCTCCTTTAAAAACTATATTAGGCCTATTTGTTTTACAAACCCCTTAAAAAAATACTTAACTGGTAACTTAACCAAAAAAAGAAAGTTTGTTAAGATAAAATATATAAACAAACAGTACCTACAAGAAACAAATAATTAATAGCCTACTACATTTGTCAGGGACAATGTCATGAAAGAAAACTTACCTACTACTTGTAAGCAAAAGGATTGATTTAGAAAGTGAAACAACAACTTAAATTCACATTAAGTCAAGAAAGAGATTTCAACACAATTCATTATTAGCCTACCTGTGGCCAATAATATATTTTATTTATAGAAACAGCTGCTTTTGGTTTATTTATAGTACTGCCATTCCTTTGGTGGTGTCACACTATATCTTTGCTTTATCCGAACCTGACCAATTGGAATTGAAATTTATCATTACAATTTAGTTCCAGTATAAACTTTTTTAAGTAGTAGGCCTAGGTCATAGGCCTATGTATAACTAAGTTTTATGTGGGATATATACTCGTTTTATTGCCGTAAACCTCGGCCATTTAAAGAAATGTGAAATAAGTTAGGCCTACTGACAAAGTAAAGGCTTTAAGTTAGTTTCCAAAGAGCTTCAGATGCTAGTTAAGTAGGTCTAATTTTATAGCCATTAAATTATGAAACATAAATAATTACGAAAAAACAATAAGCGTTCAGTTTCTATTGCATTTACATGGTGGGTTTTGCTTTAAAAAAAAAAGTGGTTATGTTTTTTTTTTTTACTCAGAACCAAAAGTGAAAAAATACATGGAAAATTATAGAAAATCTGTGACCGTTACATAACAAGTGAGAATATCCATACACAATATCGTACAGTAACTTAACAAAATACTTATCCTTGGTTGAGGTTTAAAAGAATAAGTCAAAGACTACATTTAAATCAAAATCTTGCCTTAAAAAACAAGTTTGACCATTTTTTCCAACAGCAAATTTTTGTTAGGAAAGGCATTTTATTATCTAGCCCAAAAATATAATATATACTTATTTTTTAAAAGCTACACACACATTGAATTTTATCATAGTACATAAACTGAAATTGCTATGCAACTTGATTTTTCAAAATAAGACCATATTACAAAAGCTACAATTTTGTACTTAAGGTTTAAAATTTTAACTTTTGGACCCACCATATTTATTCATTTGTTAGCAACGTTAAAATAGAGGTGGAAAAATTTAAATAGGATGAAACATTAAAACATGCTTGTGATTTTGGATTTTATAGGCTAAATCAAGTATATTTTTATATTTTAAGTACACTAATAAAAAATAAAAAATTAACTTTTAGTATAGAATACATTTGACAAGTTACTTGCACTACTTATCTTACTTAATAAGTGTAAATTAACTAACGATTACGTACATTTTCTATGCAGTAAGTTTTATATTCTGTTTAGTTTCTTATCAATGAAAAGAACCTCAAGGTTATTAAATTACAGTTTGATATGATAAGTACAAATATATACACAATATTCAGCGACTGGATGAGTTCTGAGCCAATCGACAAGCGAGTAAACCGGCAATTATATCATAATGATATAATTGCCGGTTTACTCGCTTGTCGATTGACTGATCAAGTAATTATTTGGAGGATAGAATAATTAAAGAAGACAAATACAGCCAATGGCTAAATTCTTGGTCCAAATTATAGTTTTCTATAATAGGTAGAACCTATTATAATTATTATTATTATTACTATAATAGGTAGGACCTTATCATCCAATTTGTAGCACAAGTTTTTATACCGTACTGTACAAACTATGAACACTGGTGTCTAATTAGCGAGTCTACGCTAATAATTGCCCATAAAACATGAGACCTATTAAATATGTCTACTCTGTACAACATGTTAGTAGAGCCTTCTTTTCTAATCCAACACAAAATTTACTAAACAAAACGTCTTTTTAAACTTCACAACATTAAACTAATGCTCAAATAAGCAGAAACTTTTTGTTTGTAGTGAGTGGCATAGGTAACTTAGCTGTCATGGAACTCCACTTCTATTCATTTTCAACTTAACTTAACAGCCCGGGCAGTTGCGTAATGATCCAGCAAGCTCACGCCTTCCCTTGGACAAAAAACCCTTGGGTAATATGGTTGGACCTAGCCTAGACTCTTTTACCAGATCATTACTGAACTGAAAACAATTGTCACAATCCTAAACGACGAATTCTCAGGGGTTTTCAGTTTCAGTAAGCAGCAGAGTTATAAACAGAATTTAAATGGTTTTTTTTTTAATTTACTTCAGATCAAAATTCAGTAATTATGATTGTGTTACACTGGTTTCAATCCAGTCGCTTTGTTCGGTACTGTGCTGGATTGAATTTGTTGTTAACGGAAACTGAAATTCTAAGCTTTGTTCAAACCAATGTCACTAACTTATATTTGGTTATGGCATTGACTTTAGATAGCTTAGATAACTAGTAAGTAACTTAAGACAACTCGTCCCACTGTAAAATCTGAAATCTGTTTTTATGCAAGTTTTGCGTTAGTTAGGTTGGAGCATTTGTCTTTAAAAATACCAAAAGATTCCTCATTTGATTGAACCATCAATGTAGGCCTATAATCTAACTGGATCGCGCCCTGGTACGAGAATAAGGCACCCCGCCGCACTGTTCCCCACACCACTTGTGCAAATTCCCAATAAATAACAGTGTGGAAAATGTATTCTACTAAGCCTAGTTAAAATTATCTGAATGTTGTTTTAAAAGTTTAGCTATTATGAGAAAAATTGGTAAAAATTACGTTTAAAACCTACGCGTTTAGTTTAGCAAATGACTAATAATTGTTGGATGTAAAATTTATTGCTTACAGTAGAATTCCAGTTAGGCCTAACTGAAATAAAGGGGGCAGAGCCATTTTTTTAGGTTAACCCGTCATATGCTAATAATAGCCTATGTATTAGGCCTACCTCGGTGAGTTGGAAAAATGAATTTTAAACAATTTCTATATTTTAATAGGAACAGTATTTTATTTTAGCTACAGAAATGTTACAATAGGATAGAAAATACTTTTAACTATAAAACTGAAGTAACTAAAGCATTTTACATTACGTATTACTTACACTTTAGCCCTGTATTATTTTATAGAACCTTTTTGGTTAACCTGGGTTTCGGTTAACCGGGGTTCTACTGAATTAGATTAATGGAAGATTAATCACAACTCTATAAAGGTTGTTTCATTTTATTTCCGTTACCAGTATTCTACATTACATTGTACGTAGCTAACTTATACAAGAAATGCAAAAGAGTAGGAATGTACTGCACAGAACTGGCCAAAGTTTTCTCAAAATTATTGTAAAAGCGAACAATTTATGTTATTTAATCCAATTAAAAGTCAACAGATGGACTGTTCAACCAAAATTACAGAATACAATGGACCATTGCAATGCATATGCAACTTACTATCAAAACTTTGATATCCAGGATAACGCGCTTAAATCTAATTTTAAAGAAGTGTTCTGGGTATTTAAGGCCAGGCGCACAAAGGCGATTTTGAGTCGAGCTACAGTTGCCCGACTAAAATGTTCAACATTGTTTTAAATTGGAGTGCGCACGGGGCACCAAGGAAACAGTCCAGGGACAGTCGACTCAATTGTTGCGGGACTGTCGCTCCAGGTTTGGTATCCATTGAAACAAGTGTAGATGCGCACACATGCAACTAAATTGTCTCTGCGTCGCGCAGTCTCACCCCAGGAGTTTAACTACTCGTGGCCAGAACTGTCACTTCTCTAGTGTTTGCTCTCTTGTTGTGTGAATTTTAATTACAAGTATGAGTGTGCGGGATGAGGGTGTCAAAAATTAATTGATGAAGTTGAGAAGAGGCCGCCTTTATATTTAAAGTCATTGAAAGACTAGGCCTATTCGGATATTAATTTAAAGAAAAAGTCATTGTACAAAACATGGAACTGTCCTTTCACAAGTCGCTCACTATATATGGGATGAACCGAGTATCTTCTCTTTTTCTTTCGCGCGCGAAACTTCAGCAACAAAGCACATAACTTACTACGGCTGTATCATTGAAATCCATTTGGAACGCTGTAACGAATGTATGTCCAACACGTCTCAAGACTAGATTCACGACTAAAAAGTTGCCTGTGTGCGCACTCCAGCTCAACTGTCGCTAGACTTCAGAGTCTCCGAGTGGGTTGCTAGACTCAAAATCGCCTGTGTGCGCCTGGCCTAAGTTAAACAATGGTTTAGCAAATGCACAGAGAACAATTTATACGATATCAAACCTGAAGAAGAAAATTTTTTTTAAAATGCTGCGAACAAAGCGGGTGTTAAAAAGTGTGATATGTCAGCGTACGTACAGTGCTACTTCAATGCTAAGGGCTGCTCCGGTACAGCACACGTGGTTTTGGGAATGGTGCAACGGACCATTGTTGCTGAATCATGTATCCTGCCTCTGCCAAGTTTATTGTAATTAAAATAACAAATTTACTGCCAATTTTCTATAGCCTAAGTTACTTTCAGTTAGTTTGAACCACTTAAAAGTATAAACACTAAGAACTGTGAGGGAGGATTGGTTTCTCTATTTAACTTAACTAACATAAATAAGTTATACGAAAATATATTGAAGCCTGCATAAAAACGGTTAAAAAAGAATCAAATTGTCAACTACTTAACTTAGGCCGATAAGTAGATAACTTAACATCAAAAGATTTGTCTCAAATAGCTTAGGTACCTACTAGTAAGCTTAACTCAGGCCAACTTAGGCCTACATTAGCAAACTATTATTTTGTTAATTTACTTAATTAATTCAATACAAATTTTTACATTAAAATGTAATGTAGGCCTACAAAGTTTAATGTTTAAGTTAAACTTATCACTAACATATGCTAACTTAAAAATGTTTTATAAATTGATAATTTTTATTTGAGATTTTTATGATTGCATTTCCTATTATTGTCTTAACAATATAGTCCAGGGGCCAAAAACATGAATTTTGATTGCGTTTCCATCCTTAAAGTGTCAACTAACTTACTGGTGCTGGTGCGTTAATAGTTTTTGTATCACTGGATCACAGACCATCGCCCATTTTAAAGTTAAAAAGTTACTAAGTTAAAAACAACTCACGACACAACAATAGGTTGCATAAGTTACAAGATAAACATTCGTTCACTAAGTTTTAGCTTAGTAAAAGTTAACCAAAACAAACAATAACATGTGGAAAAACTATCACAAAATTAGAAAAAAGTTCGGAAAACGTCCGTCTTTTATACTCATCATGAAGCCCAGAATCTCCTGATCATATCTTATTAGTAAGATCAATGACCGAGTTCGTTCGATTTTGTGGGATTAACTTAAGTAAGTTATATCAGCGGAAACTAAAGGCCTACCAAGTCACCGTGGCAATTGACACTTGCGGCAAAAAAAAGTCGCATTATTTACTTCGATTGACTCCTAGAGGGTTAAGCTAATTAAAACATTGGTTTGGGCCAGTTGATGTGCCTAACCTAAATACCGGTAAGTTAACGCCTAACTTAACCTAAGTTAAGTTAATTTACATTTAATATGTTCTTTAGTCTAAGTAAGTAATGCACGGTCAGTTGGGGAATTATATGACCAGGTGTAGTTATGACCGGCCCTTATAAAAACAGCAGCTAACCTCTGGTGGACCTAGCTTAATTTCAGTTTATCCATAAAGCTATTAACTTAGGCTACAAATCTTTGTCCTGGTTAGGCTATGTTAAATATTTTAGCTAATTTAGCTTAAGTTTAGTTAAGATAATTTTATCAACCTCCACAGCTTGAAGTAAGTTTACTGCCTAGCTTGACTCCATACCCCTGGCTAACTTACATTAGTGATTGATAAGATTCAAACCCAGGCCAACTTAAGTTATTAAGAACGCAGAGGATATGCGTCTGGTAACCGGACGTGGATTAGGCGTCCGGCAGTTAGGCCTACTGTCAGAACCTAACCCAACCTACCAAACTTGCCGATAGTGAAAATCGAATGAAGGTAAAATTCTGTTCATTATATAAAATTATAAACGCCAAGAGTTTTAACAAAAGATAATAATAAGTTTTAACGAATATTTATGTATGAACTAAAATGGTTAACTTATACGGTAAATAAATAAATAATCAGGCCTACCCTAACTTAATTAAATAAAAAAACTTAGCATAAATTAAGTTAGACCTGCCAAATCATGAATACCTATATGAATTAACTTACCTAGACTAACATAAGTTAAGATAAGCCATGCCTAACTTACTAAGTTAGGGCTAACTTAAGTTTAGGAATAAGTTAGGGTTAAACAAATCCAACTTAATAGGCTTATAAACAAGTTCCAATTATTAAATTATCTTACCAAGATATGAGTACGGTACCTACTTAACTTAAGTTAAGCCTAGAAGTTACTTAAGTTAACTTACTTAAAGGCCTAGGCCTTATTAGGAGTGCAGTGTCTTAACAAACTTAGGCTACGCTATAATATCGATTAAGTCGGCTAGTAAACCTTCATTCAAATTTTTCTTTTTTAGCAAAGTTTGGTTAACTTATGTAACTTAGTTTAGGGGGTGAGGTAAACATACCAAATACCGGAAGGTTAAGGTTAGGTTATGAATTAATCTGTATAGGCTATAGGCTATTTATAGGTACGGTAATGTAAGTTAAACCTTATTTGTTGTTATTAAAATTATTACCAATACTTCCTGATTTAATTTTCAACGTTTGAAGTCAATAATAATAACATAAGTATAACTTATTAACTTAAGTTAAGTTACCAGAAATTGTTTTATTTAACCAATAAGTTACGGTACCAAATATTTTGAAACTGCCTAAGTTAAGTAACTTAGTAATACAGGATTCAAAATTCCTAATAGGCCCTAAGTTACCGGATTTGTGCCGCCTAATACCGGACGGCAATCCCGCCGGCGCTCAGGAAGCCCAAAAACGTAACTTATTGAAGAAATTTGTATACGGTAAACTTGTTTTCATTTAAATTAATTCTTAAATTAAGTTATCTCATACAAGATTTAAGTTAGCACATTAAAAATAACAAGTGTTGAGTAAAATCATGGTTGTGAAGGGTATGATCTCAATAGGTCAGCAGGTGCTGGTACTTAAACTTCCGTATCTGTTGGAACTAACAACCAAAAGAAAATATCGATCAACATATCGAATGAAACGATTGAATAATCGTTATTTTCATTCGGTTGTTTGTGCCAACAGATAAGTTACAAACGGAAGTCTACCCAGGTAAGGTTCAACAATGTCATTTTAAAATTTATATAGGTAGTTAAAAATATTGGTTATTAACTTATTTGCTTAGTCATTTTTCAATCCATAGTTAGTTTCAATAAATATTAACTTAGCATAGCCCAGCTAAGAAACTGTAAGTTACCCTTAAGTAGCTTAGTTTATTTAAGTAACTTAAACTTAATTAGTTTATGAATTGTATGCTTGACTGAGCTTGGTCTTTTAACAGAAATGGTAATAAGTTAATTAGGATAGGCCCTAACGTAATTAGGCCCATCCTACCTTTTAGTCTTGACCTATTATGGTCTAGCCAACCTACTCTACCTAAGTTAACCCTCCAAGTGTCTCTAGTTTTGGTCTTAATGTTCGCCCATTTATTGCACAGTCGCAGGGTTTTATTAAAATGTATCTTAGAAACTTAAAAACAATGTAAAGTATAGGCTACTGTTTTATAAGTTATATGATTTTGTTTGGAAAATTATGGGCTCAATGTAACATATAAAACATTACAAAAAAAAAAGTTCAACAATTTTTGTGGGTTTAACCATTTCTCAAAAATTATAAAATAAATGAAAAAAATGTATGTTTGCGCTCAATATAAATTGTTATAATTTATAGGTCTTAACTTACAAATATTTTAAAATAGCCACTTTGTTCAGAATTTTATGAGGATTCCAAAAATATAATTAATATAAGGAAGTAGGTTTGCAAATAAATAAGTTAAACTTATGGGCAAAAAACAGATTTCGGTACATAGCGTAGCTAAGAATGCATAGCCTAACCATAGCTAGATATCTGGCTGATAATTTACATCAATATCACTAAGTTAGGCTACCTAAGTTATAACTTACTTCTTCAGGATCATCAACCAGCCCTTCAAAATCACTTAAATCTTCTTATAAAGCACCACGTATATCACTACCTTAAGTTTACTTTTGATTTTTAACACTAAAACAATGATAAACGTTATAAAACACATCAGTCATCGGTGCGAGGTTAACCAAGCTGTTTACAAATACACACGTCAGCTGTCTGCTACAATATTTTCGGAACTAAAATGAAAAGCGTATAGAAACAGACATCAGGAGAAAGCTCTGAATCTGCTGAAAAAAAAACGATACCTAACTCGATGCAGTTCAATCCGATTCAGTCAGTCCCAGAGCTGTCGCCGTAAACAGTGTTTGTGAGACGCAAAAGCGACACATAACACTACAGCAGAATATGTGTTAACTTATGAGTCGCTTTTACAACACATAACACTCGGAGGGTTAAGCTCAAGTTAATAAATTTAAGTTAGGCCTACCTAACTTATTTTTATTTTATTTTTTTATTTAAACACAATTTATTTACCTGTATTTATAAGTTAAGTTAGGCCTAGGGCCTAAGTTATAAGTTAGTTGTCATATTAAGTTTAGTGGTGGTTGACAGATTAGGCTACTTAAATTTGTCCTTAAAATATCTATCAAGATTGCACACACAAGTAGAAATTAGCCACATATCGACGTTGGATTGTTACCTAGGCAAGGCTAGGTCTAGCCTGGGGGATTTTCAACAGCCTTCAACTTCAAGGCCTTGACATTAGAATATAAGAAAACGTTTTGTTTATTAGTTTACCTGCTAAATATGAACTTATGTTTAAAATATAAATAAGGATGTGAAATGGAAAATCAAATTCAGGAATTAAATTAGCCTAAATAGCAAAACAAGAAGTGTTACGATAGCAACAATGGACGGGACGATCCCTAGCTCTCAGCCTTATTTTATCCGAAAATATCCTGATAATCCGTATAGTTTCATGGTAATACTTTGCAAAATCTTAACCAACAATAATTTAAGAATTGTTTTATGGTAAATTTACTCACCATTTCGGAAAGAGATGTACTACAGACTAATAAACACGGCCGGTAAAACTACAAACGCCACACTGCACCGGCTACTCGAAATACTTTGAATAGTAGAAGCTGGTGATGACGTCAGTGTTGTGTATTCATCCGCAGTTGAGGTGCGGCGTGAAAAACTAGTTCACTACACAAAACAAACTAAAACCACAAAACAACACGAATTATAACACACTTCTAGGTTTAAACACTTCCCTAGTGACAGCACCTTCTAATTCCAACTCAGAATGTGGATTACGTTTTCGACGCGCTGACCAAAGAGCTTTATAGGTGCTGGGCGCGGTCCTGTTTACAAGACTTCCTTGTCGGTTCCAACAAGCAAACTAAGCTCGCCTCCTATTGGCTGATACGCACCTGCAATGCGTCAAGCTATGGCGTGTACAGAGAAAATCGCGTCTGTGCAAACGGTTTGCATTGACCGGCGTGCTGATAACGCTATTTAGGTATTAAAATTAATTAATTTATTACTTGAATGAAAACAATTCACATCACAATCATGTAAAAGTAGTAGTGTTTGTTCATCTGTCGTATTGTAAATAGCAAATTGTTATTACGTTTCTTTATTTATAAACAATAATAACTTAATTGTTTTTTAACAAGTGCTTCGTAGATAAAACTAATGTACCCTAATAAAGATATAATGAATATTTTAAATTTCCAACAATAAATTGTTATAATAGTATTTTTTATTATTTTGTCTACTAACATTTTTGACCAAATAGTTAAAACATAACCTCTTATAAGTAGGTTGCGCGGGAAATGTAGATCACTTTTGCGCAGACTCCTCACTTGAATTTGAATTTCCCGCGCAAATGAAGTAAACAGAACCAACAGAATGGAGATTCCACGCTTCTGCAGCGATTCTACCCTGGATTCTGCCCCTTGTCCCGTCTACCTGTCAATCTCAAAAACTAGAAAACTACCATTCCATCATTCTATAGGACAGTATTCTTGATCAATGACTGAAGGATATCTTATTCATTACTAGCCCAAAAGCATTTTTTTAACGAATTTTGTATTTTTTAAGTACCGGTAGCCTAAGTGTAAAAAATATATTATCGTCTTGCGTAATAGCTTAAAACTGCTGAAAAGCTAATTAAATAAAGAATCTTCTCTATTTGTCCGGAAACGGAAAAATAAAATAAATAAAACATTTTGTTAAACACTATGGTAGCAATAAAATTGTAACTTTATTTGCCATTAAAATATGTTATTTAAAACTATTGAAGAAATGTTCATGAAATTTGATAAACAATTCAAGGTACCAATAAACTTATTGATAAAAAGTAATCATTATACCATTTTTATGGTGGTAATTTTAATTGTTATTACCGTTTGGCTCTCTTATTAATTTTATATTCTATTTTTCTTAAAGATAAAATTGAAATTACCTCCTCAAAGGAAAAAATGTCTTTCCATAAATTATCATAAATCTGACCCTGGCATTCTGTAGTTTTCTAGACAACTCTTTAGTAGGTGTTTTCCCCATTATTTTCAACTCAAATTTCATATTTGTTATTTTAGTTCATGCGTGGACTGGGACCACTAAAAAGTTGGGCGCAAACAAGTTGTGCACTCTTAAAATAATTAGTTAGTACCTTACCTGCAGTTTTCCTAGAGCAAAACTTACAAACACGTTTTATTTCATTGATTTTTTTGCATTATACATTATGTGATCAATCTGCAGTAAGTTACACGAAAGAAAATTTCACATTTTCTATACCAAGCAGGACTTCAAGTTAGAATTGGGGGTTAGGATTTTTAGTTTTGGTTATCCCCTACCCCCCATAAAAGCTTATTCGAATAAGATTTATTTTGGGCACCTTATAGGTTTTGAGTTATTGTATGTAACAACAACATTAGTTAATGTTTAATACGGTTTTACAATGAACTCAACTTCTGCACACAGGTGTGGGGTGGGGTTGACCTCGATTCCGCCCCAGTAATCGTCACTAAACGTAAACATATATTGTGAAGTTTAAAAAAATCACTAGACATTCCAATATACAACTTACGATTTTAAGACTTATAAAAAAACAATTAATTGTTACTGTATAAATGAGTTTGTACCAAACTAAACTAATTTTATATTTTACAAAGTTGTGGTCGAACGGGATATTTGATAAATTGAATGGATTTTAATAAATATTTCAGTTTTCAAAGAACATGAAGTGATTCAGTATTTTTCAGTTCGTGTCATCCGTGTTAAATGGAGAATGACGTTTTATTCGGCGCCTTATGTGACGAATGGTAAGCGATTTTTAATTAACTGATTACAGTAATAACATTTTACATACGATCTAGTTAACCAGAGTAGTACCAGGTGTTACTTTTTTATGTTTTTGTTTTTTTTTGTTTGTTTTTTTTTTGTTAGTTTTTAAATTTCTTTTTGTTTGTCCAACATACTTCATCTCACAAATGTCACACTGAATTTGATAAATGCCAGATTTATAAATACCATTCATATAATATGGTTTTGAACAAGAACACTTTCTAGTTATCCTATCCAACAGTGATATCGGGCATAGCTAAACTTCTATTTGCTAGATATTTTGCAATCGAGTTCAACCAATCAGAGTTGGTTAAAACAGCATTGATTTTTCAGAAACATTATTTTGTGGCCTTAAATTAGTACCTCGTTTGACCTAAAATCCTGGTTTAGGATCAAGATTTTAATGACGACCATAGTTCTTGTAAAAATTAAATAATTAGAGCATTTCAAACCTGGTTAATGGTAAATTGGTAAATGGTAAACCTGGTGTGAAAGTAAATATTTTTGAAGGCATACAAAGTGAAAGATATCAAATCTTATGCGGATTTTTTCAACGACCATGACCAAAGTGAGCCGTTAAAAGTTTAGGGGATAAGTTTGATTTAACATTAAAGTTTTGTAACTTTGCTGAAATCTAATTTGAAATGTGTTGCATAAAATCAACTCACAACTCCACCTTTATTGTAGATCTCTGCGTCCTTGCATGCTGCTTCAATGATATTCTGTACTGTGAAACTATTTCTTGGAGTACCTTTACCAAAATAAACAATTACTACCAATAAAAACAAAACTTACTATTTGGTAAGTCTACAGGTAGAGGAGGCGGCTCCCATTACCAGGAAAAAGAGCATAAAGCTATTTGTTATACTGAAATAACTGAATTAACATTTTGGTAATATCTTGTATGACACCCATCCACCTCTTAGAGTGAGTTGGGTCTTTTCTTAGATTAAGCATACTGTATTCCACTTACGCATTCCTCGCTCCTCATGCTTAATTTATGGTCTTGTACAATTTTACCTATATTTTCACCAGTAAAAGACTGAATAGATTTTTAACCCAAGAAAAGTTTTTAGCGAATTTCCCATATAGGGAATAAGCTATTACTGTATTACTCATGGTAAGACCTGGACCCGGAACCGATTTACTTTTTTCGTATTGAGATCCCTAGAGGCGAATAACACCATCCGTTCGAATTCATATATATATTTATTTATATACAGGAATACAGGGTGAATAAAAAGTCAAGACCCCTCTAATACTTTTCCAAGTAAATATACAAAGATATCCTTTTGGTGGTCATGCAATCTTAGCAGGAAGTTTTATGTTATGATTTAGAAATTTTCTAGTGTCCCCCAAAAAGGGGGATTTTGGGGGCAACTCAAAAATGTTAAATTTAAACCACCTTCAAGTGACACCTCACTTTAAAAGTGTTTACACAAACTTAAAGAATGGTGAAACCCAGGAACATATTAAATTCAAGGTTAGAGAAGGAACATATAGTGGGAGTACATTCATGATGAGCAACACACTGGGTGGCACGTCATACTGTCACCAGTACTCAGTGCATTGCTCATCATGAACGTTAGTGGGACTATCCTTAAATGCCCTTACCCACTTGTGTACCATTCCGTCACTCATAATGTTCTCGCCATACACTTCACTAATCTTTGGATGAATTTCAATGGCTTTCACACCTTTAGCAGTTAAAATCTAATTACAGCACACACTTCACAGTCGGCGGCAGTCTCAATTAATTGGCGGCACCATTTTGAATGCTCGAAACCGGATGTAAACACGGTGTTCAGTATTTAAAAGGCCAGCTGATCATATGTGTGAAAGAGAGAGAGCATAAAAAATCCCCACATGGCCACAACAATCAATTGATACAAATTTGAAAATGTAAACATTCTGGTTCCAAGTGCAATGTCTTTTACCTTCTTCATATCGTTTTTGTCTAGCTATTTCATTTTCTCTCCTCTTACATTATTCCATTCAAAACTCTTTCTTTGAGGAACTATAATCAATTGACCGCATTATTTTTAACTCAAATTGTGTGTGTGAAAATCTAAAACTGCTATTTTGAAGATTGGTTCATCAGAAGAAACATAAGTTGCTTGTTAGGCTTACATCCTCTAGACCTTCCAGAACTTCATGTGTGGTAACCTTAACTAAATTCTAAACCAAACCAAAAGTCCATCCATTTTCTATTGTTTTGCAAAATTAAATTAATAACCCTATATACAGTCCACTTTTATTATTGCTAAAAAGCCTTTAGAATACACCAACGATATAAACATCTCAGTTAGTATTTACAACTCAGTAGTTTACATCGTTGGAATACACTACATCTTTGGTCCGTTCGCGTCGGATTGTTGATTAACCAATTGATTGAACTAATTATTTGGACTTTTGGTTAAAGACGAAAAGTTTTGGTTAATGATTAAAGCCGTTAAACATTAAAAATGTGTATTTGTGGAGAATTTTTCAATTCCGTGATGAAAATGTTCTGTCAAGAAAATGAACAAAAAAAAAAGAAAAGATCAGGTAGAATAAAAATAAAAAAAATCCCCAGCACCTCCCGTTTGAGGGTAAAATTCGTACTATACGAAAACCATCCACACCAAATAACATCCACATCAACCACGGTTCTGAGCCAAGACTAGAACAGAAACAGAACTACCTACATCAAACAAAAAACAGAACAAACAAGTGTTTGTTATACCATCACACACAAATAGATTAAAAATTTAAGTTAAAATATGAATCCTACCAAATTTTAGTAGAACACATAAACAACAGTTTTGTAAGAAAAAACCATATAGGCCTAATTAACTGGACCAGGGTTTTTTTTTAATGAATGAAACGTGTATGGAAATGTATGAAACAATACAAAAGAAGGGCATAGAGCATAGGGCATTTTACCTACTCAAGAATTTAACAAATTTAAGTGAAGGAACAAAGTATGAAAAAGTTA